TAATGTTATGGTGAATGAGTTTGGCTGAATGAAAATATATTGAGACTGAAGATAAGGTGCAGTAATCTTATTTGTAACCCTGTCGAGCTGGTTAATTACCTGGCACGTGATTCACCAATAAATTACAATAAAAGTACATTCCAAAACACCAAATCATAATGTCATAAACAGTACACAAAGGAACAATCTGTCGGAAATAAACCAACCACGAAAATACATTTTTATAGTCAAAACAAAAACAAGTAGAAAAGATATTGCTTACATCTGAAGTAATTACTAATTAATGAGTGAAAAGGGCTTTAGTCCAACCTTTGGCTTTGGCGTCGAGAAAAAAAAACAATAAACAAAGTGTAGTCAAACGTTGCACGGCAAAAAATTTGCACCCAGTCACATAAGTGCATCGTATTAAAAAAAAAAGCGTTATACATTAGATAATTAATTAAAGAAGTGATACTAAATTTAGTTTGATCCGATTCACACAGTCTTAACAAATTTGTGAAGTGTCAATTGTGATGGATAATTAAATTGATTTTTACTCAATTCAAATACTAAGTTTAATTTTTTTTCCAATTAATTAATTGTGAACTAATTTAATTATTTATTTTTTAAACATATTAATATAAAATTATTATTGTAGTTATTTTTAAACGATCAATATAAAACAATGTATTTCGATAGAATTTGTTAAAAAGTAAATAAAAACAATAGAGTAAACACATTTTTGGTCCCTGTCAATATCTACGAAATTCTTTTTAGTCCCTGGCAATAAAAAAGGACCAAATTGGTCTCTAACAGTATGAAAAAAGTGCCACGTTAATGACGGAGGAGTTGACATAAGAACTGATGTGGCCATTTTTTCATAATTTTAGAGATCAATTTGGTCCTTTTTTATTGTCAGAAATTAAAAAAGATTTCGTAGATATTAGCAGGATAAAAAATAAACTGTTTACTCAAAACAATATCAATCCCATCATTCGACCTTGTTAGTTCAAATTCATAAAAGAAATTTCTCAAAGCACCCGGGATGAATTAACTCGTCAGAAGACTCAGAACCCACGATGAACCGGTCATAGAGTTAAGGAACGTGCGTTTCAGCTTCGCAACAGAGTATTTTATTGCCTTGAGACTATTTTTATTTGTGATCTTTGACTTGTACTAATCAATTTTGATACTGCATGATTGATAGGTGACGTGGGCGCTTACGCCACTTGTGACATATTATTATATTTTGGATAACTCCTCTCGTGACATACGAATCCCTTCAGTACGCAGGTGGCCTGTTTATAATCGTGTGTGAGAAAAAATTCTTCTGTGTATTGAATGTATTCAAATGGATTTTTTTTAAAAAGAGAAAAGTTTTTTTTTTTTTTATCCAATTCATATATTTTTAATTATGGTTTTATTAGTGTTATGTTACATGATTTAAGTGTTATTTTCAACACACACAAAAAAATAGAGAGAGAAAATGGAATGATGAAAGAGAAAGAAAAACATGTGGACTCCACCTCTTTAATGTGTGTGTAGGAAAGTGATGTTATATCATGTTACATGATAAACATAAAACCCTTTTAATTATTTTTCATAAAATCTCAAATTTGACTTTTTTTGGATAAATATATGGTGCAAGCACAAAAAAGCGCTTGTGTGCGAGTGTGTGTGTTTGTGGATAAAAATTTTCGGTAGTTCAATATCATTAATTATTGACTGATCCCTTTAAAAATTTTGGAATATAAATAAAAAAAGAGTAGAGTGAAAGAATTTTTTTCATATTTCCACAAAGGAATTATTTAAAAAAAAAATTATTTATGCGAGGAATGAATTTTTATTACTTTGAAAAGTACATAATTATAATATTAAAGTTGTTTTTTTCTTTCCATGTCAACTAATAAATTTTGTAGAGAGAACTTTTTTTTAATATTATAACTATATAATCTCCGAAATACATAGTTATAATACGACTGTCGCACTGAATGATTAGTGCGATGATATTACTTAAGATTTATTCATGTGCCAGCCAGAGGTGACAATATAGGTTGAACTCAATATGTCAATCCGCCAAAATGGGGCAGGTTGGGCTACACATCACAACCCATAAACCGATGTCACTATGTTGTGGGTCAAAACGGGATTGGGACGTGTTGGCTCGCCGGGTCAATTTTTTTTTACTATTAAGTAGTATTTTATTTGTTACCAAATTTTTGTGATATCAAATTTTTTTTTATCCTGGTAATCCCATAGAAAAAAAAATTATTTATAACAAAGGTTATTCATGCATGGAGGCAAAATTAAGTTCCAAGAATTTTTGATTGAATATTAGCATACATTTGGCTTGAAATGAAAAACTAAGGCGAGTGTGAATTTTTTATTTTATTTTTTATTAAGCAGTTTGACCTGTCAATCCACCATCAAATGAGGTGATTGAATTTTTCAATACACATTCAATAGGCAAGGCGAGACTGGCCAATTCGTTTTTGGCGGAGGGACAGAATGGGCTAACCCGTTTGACCACTTGGGGGAACTGATTCATGTAAATAATAATTTTGTATAAATTTTTAATAAATCACTTAGTTATAACTATTTATTATCTTAATTTATATATTAATTATTTTTATATTTTAATAATATAATAAGCGTATATTTAAGTGATTTTTGTTTCTATATATTTCAATTTCATATGTATATATTACATTAATATTTATAAAATATATATTTAACCTTTTATTTCACTCGAATGCAAATTAAATTAAAATTAAATATAAATAAATACCAGTTATAAGATTCATAGACTTTATTTACCCCTTTTTTGTAATTCCTATGATGCAATTGGGGGTTTTATTAATAAAAATTAATGTTCATGAAAAGTTAACCGTGCAAGTGAGTTAACATGTGTAATAAATATTGGGTTTTATAAGAGTTATGTTGTAGGAAAAGTGATTGTGTAATGTTATAGAGATTCGTTTTGCGTGCCTTAATTTTTTATTTATTTTTTTGTTTTAAAAAGTGTGGGTCCCACAAAATATTGTGAGTGTAGGAAAGTTTGTTGTGTTATGTTAAAGGATAAAACGAAAACCCATAAATATTAATACATAACTATTTACACATCTGCGTAATGTTTTGAAGGAAAATATGAATTGTTCATAGACATTCACACTGTAAACTAAAAAAAAAATTAATTAGTCCAAAAATTTTAAATATAATCTTCATGTGGGTAAATAAATTTTTTATTTTCAAATAAATAAATGGTTTTTATTTCTTAGGTCAAGCAACAACTCTTATTAAATTGATAGTTTCAACTTTCAACTTCGATTTTATCAATTTAGATGTATTGAGGTCAAGTATGCACAAAAGTATTGCTTTATAAAATTTATTTTTATTATTGTAGCATGAAGTTTTAATTTTAATTTTTATTATGAATTCTTTTTGGTTTTATATTTTTATTTTCTTTCTTTGATATTTTTAACTTATTGTGTTTTAAACTTTAATTTTTTTTTTAAGTAACAATCGAAACTTATTCACTTTTAATAAATAAAAAATATGCATATTTTTATTGTAAAAATACATATAGTTAAAGTATTAAAATAATAATATTTCATTATATATTTAAAAATTCTTTTAATCTTAAACTTACGAAATTGAACGATAAAATATTATTATTTATCCATTTGATAAATTTATTGATAAAGTCGTGAAAAAAATACCATAAGAATAGGCAATGCAATATCAAATTTTATATATGATCTTTCTATTATACTTTAAAAAGAAGTATATTTAATATTTTTAATTAAGGACTGTCTTTAGTTTTCAAAATTTATTTCGATAATAATTTTTTCTTATAATAAAATAAATTAGTTTAAATGTATTTATCTATTAAATGAACAATTTATAACCTTTGATATTTAATTTAAGGAAAATACTTCTCTCATTTTACATTAATTATCTCATGTTATAAAAAAAAGTTAGATGAGACCCACTATTAAAGAGTAAAAAAAAAGTGGGGGGTAAAATTTTTGAAGTGAGATAATTATCTCATGTAAAATGAGAATAATATGTTCCTTAATTGGATCTGGATCCTCTAATGGAAAATTCACATGACCATGTAATGTGGGGAATCATAACCATACAAAGGTGGATCAATGGTAAAAAATGAGGAGAGAAAAAAAATGATAAAATAGGTAGTTACGAAATCATAACCGTTGATTTACCTTTGTATGGTTATGGTCTTCCCACATGACCATATCATATTTTTTTAGCATATTAGAGGATCCATTTCCTTCCTTAATTTAAGGGGAAAATATTTGTATTTTTAAAGACAGTCATTTTAGTTCTTCCATAACTTTTGTTTCCCTCGTCATAAAACATAATAATTTTGACTAAAATAATATAATTCTATGTTATTTAAAAGGAAAAATTCTAATCTCTTAATTTAAATAACATGCATATCAGAATATAACATATTCAGTTAATCTAATTATCTTTATATTAAAATAAGTAAAAAATGTCTTTTAGGAGAGCTGGTCATGTTATAATGTGAATGTTTCTGACTCTAATAGGATTTCCTTGGATACTTATGATTTATTAAAATGAAAATAATAATTCAACCAATAATAATAATAATAATAGAGGTAGGATATTTATACTATCAATATTTTTTACTACCATTTTACTATTATTCTAATCATCATTGGATTGAAGGAAAAGTTGAATGAAAAGAGAAAAAAGAAAAACAACTTTTGAATCCAATGGTGATTAGAGTGGTAGTAGAAAATTTTGGTAGTATGAATATCCTATCTCATAATAATAAGGAAAAAAAATTAAAAGCTGTACGTCTTCAAATTGTAAAAAATTGCAAATTGGAAAATTGGTTAGTCAAGTCAAATGTAGGTAATGTCGTAAATAGAGAATGATACAAGTCCGATAATGTATGTAAAACGAGGGTAAGCGCCGCCGTCTATTTATTAAACACAATTCTGCATCTACCCTTTGTTTGTGTTCCCATTTGATTCTGTCTCTCCTCTCTCTCTCTCTCTCTCTAAGCGAAAACCTCAACAGACTAACCCCTCCTCTGTAACAGTCTCTTGTGGTGCTTGGGGGAGTCGCGTGGCCTGCGATTCCCTTCCCGGTTTTCCTCTTCAACCTTCAATTCAACCCTTCCGTCTTCGGTTCACTGATTTATTCTTCCTCAAAAATGATTTCCATTGCTTGCTAGGTTTTTTAGCCTCTCAAATCTTCATCTCCGAAACCACACTGTACCTTTTCTTCATCAGGCTAATCAATTTCGCAGTTATGGCTATCCGGGTTACCTTTTCCTTCTCCGGTTACGTTGCCCAAAACCTCGTCTCCTCCGCCGGCGCTCGTGTTGGAAATTCTCGTTGTGTCCAAGAATGCTGGATACGCTCTCGCCTTTTCGGAACTAACCAGAAGCCCGATCTCGATCCTTCCGGCGGCGTCCGCAATTTCCATTCCAGATCCAATTGTTGGGTCAAGAAATCTGCCTGTGCCTACACCACACTCGCCGGTGAGGTTCTTGGTGACAACTGTAAGAACCCCATCATCTTAGGTTTGATTTCGATGATGAAGTCAACGGCTGGTGTTTCTGGATCATCCACGGCGGCTATGGGTATTTTGGGTATTTCACCCTTTAAGACCTCTTCGATTATTCCCTTTTTGCAGGGTTCCAAGTGGCTTCCTTGCAACGAGTCGCTTCCTGACCCCACGTCTTGGGAAGTGGATAAAGGTGGAACGCGGTGTATTGACGGTGGTGCGAATGCCGATTCTGTTTTCAACCCTAAGGATCTCGACAAAAGTAGTTGGCTTTCGCGGTTGTTGGGTGTTTGTTCGGAGGATGCGAAGGCTGCGTTCACTGCTGTCACTGTTAGTTTGCTCTTCAAATCGTTCTTGGCTGAACCTAGATCCATTCCCTCTTCTTCTATGGCCCCAACTCTTGAAGTGGGTGACCGTATTCTAGCTGAGAAGGTTTGTTCTTGATTGACTTGATAATATATATCTTACATTCTCAATCGTTTTAGTCAAGATTTTTCTCCTTCTTTCTTTTGCTTCATTTGAACTGATTAAGTTTGTTGGTGCTGCAACAGTTTTCTTTCTTTTTTAGAAAGCCTGATGTTTCGGATATAGTGATTTTTAAGGCGCCTCCTAGTATGCAGGTATCTTTAATTGCTGCTTGGTTGCATTATTGCAATTGCTTCTAGATCTTTAGTTACATTAAATATTAAGGTGTTGATGAATAATGATGTTCCGTATTTGATTTGTCTTATGTAGGAATTTGGTTTTAGTTCATCTGATGTATTTATAAAAAGGATTGTGGCTAAGGCTGGGGACTCTGTTGAGGTAAGCTTCTATATTTTGAGTAATTAATTGGTCACTTTCGAAGTAGTTAATCTTTTATCTCTGACATCTTATATGTGTTTTGGGTTTTGTGTTAGGTTCGTGGTGGGAAACTACTGGTGAATGGTGTTGCTGAAGATGAGGAATTTGTTTTAGAGCCTCTTGCTTATAAGATGGATCCAGTGGTAATGTTTGCGGTGGTAATGGTGCTTTATTAATTGATTGTGGGACTTGACAACGTGGCTAATAGTTGTTTCCTTTTTTTGGTTGCAGGTTGTACCGGAAGGGTATGTCTTTGTGTTGGGAGACAATCGTAATAGAAGCTTTGATTCTCATAATTGGTAATTTTTCACCCCCTTTACTACTGACTTTTCCCTATTGTTTGGGTTGGAGAGTAGTTGCTTTAGGTGGACGACACATTTTGGCCCATTTGTTGATGCTGTTCTTCTCAAACATCTAGTTTATGTAAACATGCTATCAGATCTCAGAAGTTCATATATATTTGTATGTGCACATTTTATCCCGATGTCCGACTGAACATATTTGCTGTTTTTGTGTCTATCAGGGGTCCACTTCCTGTCGAGAACATCATCGGTAAATCCATGTTTCGATACTGGCCTCCATCTAAAGTATCTGATACTGACTCCCTTCATAAACTCACACCTGGAAACAATCCTGTGGCAATTTCTTGACATGATTCCCGTTGCTTTCTGAGGGTGATGAAGGATTTCAGATACTTCCATTTGTTCTAAATGGATGGCTTCTCTCGTATTGGCCAGGGAGTGAGCTGTTATTCAACGATTCTCCAAGATGAGCCTGCTTGTCGTGAATATGGTTTGGGATGAATGTCTTATTCATTGATGCGAATTTGTCAATGACCTAATAAATGACATTATGCGTTCTTTAGTGCTATCCTGAGATGTTTTTCTCCTTCGGGGCGAAAAGAAAAATTAAAGAAACATGACGATATTACCGCAGAAAAGAAAAAAAGAAACATGATGATTGATTTATGTTGTATTCTTTAGTTTATTATGTCCGAGTGCTAGGGAATGGAGGAAAGCTTGGACATGAGCTAATTGACTCCCTGTAAGTTCCTTAGTCAAGCCTCCTCCTAATTAGAATCTATATTGCCATTCAGTCGCACTGGAAATCGTCTGGGCACGATTATGATTGCCTTTTTCAGAAGCAATGATCACATGATCATTTAAGATACAATTTCAGTATAACATGCCAGTCATGTGTTTTTTGTTAAGTGCTGTAATGAAGTAGTATTTCTCATTGGGTTAGATTGCCCTAAAGGTTCGATTAACGTGACCCAAAATGATCCTGATTGAATGTTTTTATTCTAATTTATCTAAATGTTGTATTATTATGGTGAGAACATTTGAATTGAATTTTCATTCCTTCATTTAGTTCTTCCTTCTTTCCAGACTTGATACTAGCGTTAATCTTTGTTTTTCTCTGCCTCGCCTCTCAAAGTTTCTTCGATCTTGCTTTTATTTCTATAGCTAATACCAAAATCAATCTTAGGCTTCTCTTGGTTGTCTTGCATTCTCTCAGATCCAACTAACTCTAGTCATTCTCTTGTCAAAAATTGAGATCTTATAGTTAATTTGTTAGTAAAAGGTGAAAACTGATCAATTTATCCAATCACGAGCAAGTTGAGTTTATCAGCTCATGTTTATAAGTTCCCCGACCAAGGTTCGATTAGTTATTAGTTCTCTTCAGCCCCAACTTTACTCGATCTGATTACATCATTATAATTTAGGCAGTTTACATTTACAATTTTTTTGGTTTAGCATTCGTACAACTTCAATTATGTACTTTAGAGAGTATACTCTTTAGTATATATAGTTAAGTTTGTAAGAGTTGTAAATAAAAAAAGTTATAATTTCATTATAATTCAGGCAGATTACGTTTACAATTTTTTTGGTTTAGCATTCTTACAACTTCATTTACGTACTTTGGAGAGTATACTTTCAAGTATATATAGTTAAGTTTGTAAGAGTTGTAAATAAAAAAAGTTATAAATGTAATTCTTCTCTTATAATTATTCATTGTTCCTTATGCTGAATATATATATATATATATATATATATATATATATATATATATATATATATTTCTGCAGCTGTTGTACGTACAACAATCAAATACTTGATATATATATATATACTTAAAAGTATTAAATGCGGGGAATCGTAATCATACAAATGATGAAAATATTAAATGTGGGGAATCATAATCATACACCTATCGTTGCTGTACGTAAAGCGGCAGCAGAAATAATTTTACCTATATATATATAGGATTTGTTTTTTCTAAAGTTACTTTAGATAACTTTATCTAATGTTCATCGAAACGACGTCGTTTTGGGACGAAATCATGGTGTTTTTGTAATTTTAATTTATTTCAGGATTATAATGGTCTTTATCATTCTAATTTTTTAATTTTTCAACCCAAAACGACGTCGTTTCGATGAACACTAGACAAAGTTGTCTAAAGTAATATTAGATACTTTTTTTCCGTATATATATATTGAACATGTAATTTACAAGCCTCGCCTAAGAAAGAGAAGGCAGCTTTGTGATAATGAAACCAACTAACAAAAAGCATTAAGGCTGCAAAAGTTAACGCGCCGATTGCGGTATAATAGAGCTGTATTTCACTAGTAATTTCTTATGCTCTTCAAATTTGAAAAAAAAATGTTTTTTGATTGAGTTTAAATTTGGTTAATTCTTAATGTAAATTTTTTATGCTTTTATTCAATAATCAATACATTTTTTAACAAGTTAGACTTGTTAAAACATAACGATTAAGATAATCAAAATTCTTTTAAAATTTGATAATAGATGATTATATAATAGCAGAAATTTTTTATGATGAAAGTAAAGGAAAAATAAATCCTTGTGATTTTATACTGAATATTCTCCTTGGAACGAGATTTAATGCACATGTCTTATTTTTTAGCTTCTCTTCTTTTTTAAAGTAAAAGTTTAACCAAATATAATTTTATAAAAGCTTTTATTATAAAAAAAATTATAAAGAAGAAAAAAAAGTAAAAGTTAAAAACTCTCAGCAAAAGTTTTTTTTTTTTGGTAAGATGTATGCTAGCTTTTACGAGTTCTTATATTTATTTTATAATTTTACTCTTATTTAATCTTATATTTATAAATTTTATCCTTTATCCTAATAATTCATCTTAATAAAAAATTATTATATCTACCTTTGTTCAAAATTATTAGAATAATTTTATATAATTATATGTATAAAAAAGTTATATAATTATCAAATAACTTTTAACTTTATTTTTTGACACTTTATTTTTAACTTTAACTTAAAAATAACTTTGTAACTTAAAAATAATTGTGACATACATGCTCTTACTAATTGGTTCGTCTAGCTTTTTTCATATAGCGCTAAAAATCAGAAAAATTTTCCTACACACACAATATTTTGTGGGGCCCACACTTTATAAAGCAAAAAAAAAAAACCTTACTTTTTACTAGAAAATAACAATTTTGTAAACTTTTAATAAAAAACTTAATTCTTATTTACACATATTTTGCATTTGTTATTCGTTGGTTGTGATTTTCTCATCTTTAACTTTTTCATTTTTTATTTCTAATAAAGATTACTTAACTTTAAAGTTAACCACTTAACTGTAGGTTGTGTTTGGTTGGAGAGAAGGAAAAACTTTCCTGGCTAAGTGATGGTGGGAATGTGAGTTGTCAACGTTTGGTTGGGGATTTTTGTTAAAGTTTGCCATCAATCCCACTTGCCCTGCAATGCAAGAGGAAGTGTAAAAATCAGATTTTAGCACTGTTGGAGATTAGCTTTCAACGGGTGGAATTGTGTGAGGAAATCTGATATCTGAAAAAGGTGGATAATGGGGTGACAAATATACCCCTCCTCCATTTTATTGTGGTTCGTATTTTGTAATAAAACAACAGGTTTTTTAAATAAGGATAGTTTTGTAATTTCAAATAATTTTTTCATCAAAATTCTATCTTCAACCAAACATACACTCAAAAAATTTAATCCAATTTTCCTGGTAAACTTTTGCCGAACCAAACAGTTTTTTTTTACATTTTCCTACCAAACTCACTTTCCAACCATTTTCCTATTAATTACATTTCCCTAGTATTCAAAAAATTTCTCCCCAACCAAACACTACCTAAAAGAGTAAAAAAGGGTGGAGGGGGATCGCTTATCCATGTTTTGCAGGTGTACTGAAACTTTATTATTTTATCCCTTATGGTCGCTTATTCATTTTCATTCCAGATTCATCGAAATCGGGACTTTTTTAAGTATATCTCGACGAAGCAGAAAGGTTATTGGTAGGATCAGAATGTTTCCACGTTGGAGGTTGGGAAGGTTAGGTTCGGCACCTCCAATAGCTGCGGGATTCGGATTGGGTTGGGAAGATTCAGCTGCGCGCACTGGAACGACTTCACAACACCAAAATTCATTTTGTTAGTTTGCTACCCGTGCTTGATTCCTTAAAAAATTAAGGTCCATTTGAGAAATTTGCAATCACTAGAAAATCGCGTAGGTAAGTAATAAAACGAATGGGTTTTGAATAATTTTCGCGAGGATATTAATTAATTGTTAAGTACTCTTACTCTTAACTTTATTCAAAAGAAATAAATAATTGGAATATAAAATAAAAATTAAATACTAAAAAAATGAAAAAAAGAATGATGATAACGAGTTAAAGAGTAAACTTGCAATAGTAAAGATATCTGGATTCGGTTTTACTTTATTTTTTAACTAGTATTTAATTTTTTTATCCAATTGAGGTTTAATCAATTAATTAATATGGAGATTTTTTAGATTAATTAATATCTAATTTCTTAAAATTTTAATCATAATTAATGATTATTATATTTAGCATATAATATAAGTCATGCATAAATTTGTTGATTTTTAACACAAATTTTATAAGATTAATTTATAAAAATATTAAAAAAATGATAAATACAAATTAAATAGACAAAAACTTATATTAAATAAACAATAACTTAAGTACATCACCGATTTTATGACTACACTTTCATTTAAAGTATAATTTTCTATTTTATATGGTCTTTTAGAATTCTATTAAATATCTAACTCCTTAAATTTTTATTAGGACATGTCATTTATTCTATTTTCATTTTTTACATTGGTAACATTAAGGTTTGAATCTACAGTCTCACTTAAGTTCCTCACCAGTAAACCACAACTATTGACTTATCCATAATCTGGGTATTTGTCTCTTTGACATATTAATATACTATCCAATTTTCGGTATCTACCAAAAGGGGTCTTTTAGTGCCTGACATTTTAATTAATTTGATTTTGAGACCGAGATTAACATTTTTCCGGGAGCAGTTCAACTTTGACCTCTGAAATGAACGTTGCAGCAGCTTAATTGGTACATTTAAAGTTCAAAGACGCTATATGGTCAAAGAGCCTCCTTTATCTTTGTCACTCTTTACCTTCTCAACCAATCAATTAAGCTGCTGCGATGTTCATTTCAGAGGTCAAAATTGAACTGCTCCAGGAAAAATGTTAATCTCGGTCTCAAAATCAGATTTTTGGCCTCCTCAAAGCAAATATTAAGCCATCAGCTGCTATCAGGTTCCTTTAGATCAATTGGAAAAAAAATGTTGGGAACATTAATGCAATGCTATTGAGTATCAAAGGTATAAAAACATTACCACATATAATGTAAAGCTGACACAATTTTTACTTTAAAAACCCTCAACCGATGTAGAAAAATTACAGGCAAGAGTTAAAGAGTTTTTTACTAAGAGAAATTTCAAACTCCTTTTTATATGTTGTCCCTTGATCAGATAAGAAGATATAGGAGAAACACTGACACTGAGATTTTCACTATGAGAATGAGATCATAAAACTAATGGAGGTGGTGTTTATAGGTGAGAACCTCTTTGAATTATTGTCCGAACAATCAATTATGCTAAACAGCTTTAGTCATCCTCAAAAGTTTCCAATCATCTTTTAACTCAGAAGTCAAAAGGTGCCATACACCTCTACTGTATTGTATCGTTCAAAGTCAAAAGTGACTGCTTCCTTCCCTTTTTGAATTTACAAATGAATGCCACCCTCAAAGGTTACGTTACCTGATTGGAGAACATGGCCCAGTGTAGAAAGTGTTCGATTTGAGATATTTGGCAGAGTTGAGGCAGACAGGTTAAGGCCTCTTCTGATCAAGAGAATGAAACCTTTTATTGAATGCTGATTGGTCTTGTAAAACCAAAAGCATAGGAGAAAGAAGAGAATTCATGGTCTTGTTTATTTGTAGCCTCGTAGGATTTGAACTTGATTCTTTCACTAAGGAGAAATCTGGAATAAGCTGGTGTGCTGTTTTTGGAATCTCTGCTTTTTATCATGCTATTGCTCATTGGTTGCATGATTTATGAAAGTCATCCAAGGGGGAGGTAGTTCAATTGTTTTTTGTTCGTTCTGACGAATAAAATTTGCAAGAACTAGTGAGCGTTGATGTTACGACACTCTGTTAACATCCTCGCTGTCGCTGCTCCCTGTTAATATCTAGTACTTTGTCCAACTAGAAGGGTGATTTCATTGTTAATTAGGTGATTGTGGAATGAAAACCAACCATCAATAGCATAAAAGGTACCACAATAGAAGATATCTTAAAGCAACTTTCTTGATGAAATATGTTCAAGTTCTATTGTACAGTAAAATCCAAATCCAAATGCACCGTCCCTTTCTTTTGGTAGTCCTCAGTCGCAACAAGAACTGTTCATGGCCAAACCTGATGCTTATTTTCTGGAAAGTGGCTTCATAATGACATAATCTATAAAATATCTAAGCATTGATTGCATTTGGTTTATCTACCGACCTTATCGCCATATAACAATTAATTATTGTAATTCCAATATAGTTTAATTCAGTCGTTTCTAGAGCAGTTGCTGGTCTTTCGACCAAGCACTGTTCTGCAAATGATTTCCATCGGCTGCTACATAGCAGAAGAAAAAAATAGACAGAAGATATTATTATAAAACCTTTTCCTAATTATGCAGATTTAGCTAGCTTCTACGAAGTAACAGTGATATTGGAACAGTAACATAAAAATTACAGGGAACGTCTGGTAGGTAGGACTAATAATCTAAACCTTGGCAATGTCAACATCATCTTTTGAATCATTTTGCTTGTCTTCCACCGTTTTGTATCGATACCAAGAAGCACAGGCCAGGTAAAATCCAAAGTTTACAACGCTTATCAAGGACAATAGCCAGTAGAAGTAATTCAACTTGTCTCTATTCAAGTTATTACTTGCGAGCCACCCTCCACTCACCTTGTTAACCACCTCAACCACCAATGTGCTTGTAAAGTAACCGAGTCCAACAGAACACCAAGATATTGCTGTGCCAAGGGACTTCATTCCAGCTGAACTTTCTGCATAGAAAAACTCTAGAAGCCCAATCAGGGTAAACATATCTGCAGCACCAAAAATACCATATTGGTAACCTAGCCAAAACACACTCATTGGCAAAGGCTCCGTGCTATCTACCATGTTGTGTTGGATGGCCACAGACTTGCGACGTGTTTCTACAAAACCAGCAACTGCCATGGAAATTGCTGAGAGAACCAATCCAATTCCAATCCGCTGAAGGTGACGAATTCCAGTGGGGATCCCTGTGATTTTTCGAACGAGTGGGACAAAAACGCGGTCGTATAAAGGGATTAGGACAAACATGAACAAAAGAGGGACGACTGGGATTGATGGGCCTGGCATTTTAAACCCCATGATTTTAGTGTTCATGGTGGTGCTTTGTTGAATAGTGAAAGTCTGAAGCTGAGCCAAACATGTGTTCATGAATATGGTACTAAATATTATTGGTAACATGCGGATTAAGATTTTTGTTTCTTCTACTTGTGTCACTGTGCAGAGATTCCAGGGTCCCGAGGTTATGGATGTTGCTGTACCAACACTGCTTCTAGAAATTGCTGCCCGGTCCAAGAATCTGGGAATCCATTTTTTCAATAAAACCAAATGAGTAAGAGGTAAACAGTACTTATAATCAATGATTACTGGTTATGTGACATTAGAGTTTAGAGGATTAAAATAATTTTATATATATGTACCTGAATTGATCTGTCCTGTTAAGGACTTCATAATTGTCCCCTCTTTCTTTTTCATGAATCTCATGTAGTTCGTCTGAATTCTCTGGAATTCGAAGTTGTCTATTTTTTAAGGCTGCCACAAACACCTAACAGTTCAACAAAATAGATATATGAGTCCGATATGCATCATATAATTTCCTTTTAAAATACAAGGACATTTTGAAATATATGAATGAGTGTATAAAAAATGACAATGATGTTATTTACCTGTATGATTCGAATTAGAGGGCTTCCCTTTGGGGTATTGTTTCGGTACAATGACTGGCCCATGCATATGAACAGAGTTGCAAATAGGACAGCTATAGTGGACACAGTAAAGCTCCATTCCCATCCTAGGTTGGCCCCGATCCAGATAATGAAAGTAACACCAACTATTGCTCCTGTGGTAAGGCTAAACAAGAACCAGTTGAAAAAGCTTGATAGTTGAGCTGCCTCCTTGGGATCTTTATCATCAAACTGATCAGCTCCTAAGCCTGGTAAAGCTGCCTTAATACCACTGGTTCCTAATGCAACAAGGTAAAGGCCAGTATAAAGTATTGCAGCCTGGCCACCCGTAGCAGCCTTACATTGGTTCATCTGTGTTGGTGCTAAATCTTTGCAGGGGATGGGTCTTAACTGGTGAAAGTGTGCTTGAACTGTGAGGAGACCATATCCCTGCAATTAGAATAATTAGTTCTATTTATTCATTTATTGTTATCTTTTGCCTTTCCTTATTCTCCTCGAAATTTGATGCTTGATTGATACATCCTTACATTGGGATTAGGAGACTTTCAATGACTAGACTAATTCTTATAATTTTAGCCAGTTTTAACTGAAGACAAGGAACAATGTTGACCTCAATTAGTATTGTTGTTGTAATAAATAATAATTGATGTATTTTAGTGTCGGCATCATGCACTGCAAATTACGCTACTCTTGCTAAGAAGATATGGTTGTTGGTAATTAACGAAAGAAACATGCTGGTCAAGGCACTACTATCTGGGCTTCAATAATTGAGCACCATGGTAATTAACGAAAGAAATATGCAATGCTAATTCATTTAGTTTTATTTATGATTATTCATTGGATTCATCCTCAATGATCGTCATAATCACAACCACTTCATGTTGCTGAAGGGACATTCTACTTTTAATCTTTGATGGGTAATGCACTCGTAAGAGAAATTAATTCAACTCACCAACAATTCTATGCATGCAAACAGAACACAAGTCTTGAACCTTGACAGATAGGTATCAGAGATTAATCCGCCAAGGAGTGCTAGTATAAATGCAGTTCCCGAATAGTTGGTCAGGGTTGTGGCAGATTTTGTTAAGCTGAAATTCATGTAACCAAAGAAATAAGTTACAAGGCTCACTGCGTTGGCAACGAAGGCCATGTTCTCTAGCCCTTCCATAGCTGCATGCACAGATTGGAATTTCAATTTATTAGAGGAACACAACAAAATGCTTTCCACACATAAAAGGGAACAAGGCAGAAGAGGGAGTGGGAATTTTAAAAGCTGTTACCGTATATAAAAAGTGCAGCTCTGTTTCCTCCTACCCTTCTTTGTAGCCTTTGTTGGGTACTCATATTTCTGCAGATTCCCTGGTGTGTGATAAAAAAAATTCAATGAACCAAAGCAAGTTTAGAAGTGCTTTGCTTTAACATAGAGAGAGAGAGACATATGCATGAGAGGTGTAAGCTTAAATATGGAGGTTCAATATTACTAAGAACGAGTGGTTAAATTAGAAGAACATTAAAAATGTTTGGCAAGAAAAATGAAAGGATTAATTACCATTGTTAGTTCCTTCTTTGATCCGAAGGACAGAGCCCGCTTCTTTAGGTACTAGCAGTTCATTCGTTTTAAATTTATATAGGAACCAACTAACACGAATACATAAGCAATAAGAAAATCATATGGCAACCTGGCATTAAAAACAATAATGTTGGTTAGGTTTGTAAGCTGAGCTTTGTTCCAGTTTTCCTCTCCAACCCTATAATATAGATATTTTTGAATAGATTAGTTGACTTCATCTTATTTTTCTGACTAGAACGAATTAATTAAATGCTGATACGGTGGAATGCACCACGTTAGTTAATTGGATTGATTGGCATCTCTGAACTACTTTGTTCATGAACGAATAATTCATCCATGCCTATATCCCTATATTGACCTTGTTGTAAAACTTACAATAACAAAATAAATTGTGCCTACATCGAAATACTGTAACAATCATTTATTTGCCTACATCAATGACTCTGGTTTAACAAAAAGAATTTTGGCATCTTATAGTTCAGAAAAGAAGATGCCTCCTTATAGAGCTGAATACATACTGTTGTCTGTTGTCCATGTATAATGTCTTAAAAATATTAGAGATTCCTTAAATTTGAAAGGTTTATACCTAGAACCGCATACCCCAACGAGATCAGTTCACCTATATTCACACACTACGAAATGACCCAAGTTCATCCATGTAATGGCATTCAATCATTGCAGCCAGCATTTCTAACTAGTTGTTGTGAAGTTTATTATGAACAATGCATGTGCATGTGTTGAGTGAACCTTCTGTTCCTAATTAAAATACATAATATCATTGTATCAAAACATAATAATAATAATAATATCATTTTATTCCCTTTTTGAAACTATTTAAAAGTCTTAATCTTTTATTAAAGGATAAATTAAATGTTATGTTATATGATGTAACATAATTTTCTTACATACACAATTGAGAAGAGAGAAGAGAAAAGAAAAGAAAATCAAGAGATATAATCCCCATACAGTTATGTATGTAGATAAATTTTGTACATCATGTGACATAATATTTGATTTATTCTTTATTAAAATATAATACCAATATGTCACTGTTTGGTCAAAGTAGTACTCGAGTAATTAAATTTGAAAGAATAATGCTTAACTTTACAAATATAAAATGTATGTGGGCCCCTCTTAATCTGCTTTCCACCCACAAGTTCTATTATACAATTATCTCACATCAAATGCTTCTCAAAATTCCTTCTTTTGATAACATACAATGGGCAAAAGTCAAGTCTCTTATCTTACCCGCAAAGTGAACCCTACCACAGACACAAAACAGTACTATTTGGGTTTTCATCACCTTCTTTTTAAAACCTTCCTCTCTCTCTCTCTCTCTCTCTCTTATGAGAAAACAAAATAAAGCTACACCACAAGCACGTATAATTATTTGAGTAAAGTATTTTTTTGCGTCTTCTAATAATATTAAAGAATTCAATTTAAATTTATTTTTTAAATTGAGAGACTAATGTAAATCTTTTATTTTAAATTTTAGATGAATTACAAGTCAATTTTTTAAAAATAAAAATAAAATAATCCCATAATTTATAATTTTTTTGTTGAAAACCAAAAGTTACTTTACTCTAATTATTTTATATTTTACGTGTGAAACAAACAAAGCCAACCCATTTGGTGATTTGGATATTATTTTATATTAATTAGTTATATCAGCAATTTCGGTTGTCTTTCTTTTCTTTTCCTTGTTATGGAGTTTTGCAAGCATGCGTGTTTTAGTGGGCTCTGTTTCAGCTTCCAAGTAAACAAGCAGTGATTGTTCTACCATTAATAAGAAAGTCATTCTCACAGGAAGTTGATCAACTTGCAAATATTTAATTAATATAAAAGTTACTGCCACTTCTGACTTCAAGGAGCATTGTACAGTTCATGAAAAGAGATAAATGTTTTCTTCATGGTTCTTTTGGTAGCAGCTCTGCTCATGCTTCTTCAACTCAAGTCCTTGAATACTTCAAGTCGATTCCTTTCTCGCTTTAGTCTCCTTTCTGGTAATATAAGCTTCAGACTCAGCAGAACCACTAGTTTAGGGAAAGTGTACTCGGGTAATGAAGTTTTGTACTCGAGTAACTCATCTTTCATAAAAGGTACTCGAGCATATGAAGCCTAATAATCGAGTACATAAACAGAAGCAGGTAGAATATTTGGATACGATAAAATACATTTTAATTAGGGATATAACTGTCAAAAAGCCTATATGAATTTCAAAAGATAGGATGCTTGACGCAGTAAATGTTCAGTGCACAATATAGGATAAGGTCTGATAGTATTAGATCAGATAGTATAAAGTCTGATGGTATAAGATCTGATTGAATTTTAATATTATCCAGCATTTAGATCGGTATTGTATAAAATAATATATTGAATAAGATAATATCATCTAGTTTTGGTAATGCACTATATAATACTATATAAGATAAAAATAAATATTTTTAATAAAAATATCCTTTAATAAAGAATTTATATAATTCTTCAAAAAATATCATATGATATTAATTTTTATAAAAACTTATTGATCAGTGTGTCCAAAACATAAATTAATTTTTATTAAAATAAAAATATTCAATATTTTAAAATTAATATATTGAAAAATTAATTTTTATTTTAATATATTAATATTAAATAATATATTAATTTTTGAGAATTGCACTGGCCAACAATATTAATACACTAACCTCTTATCAGGCCTTATCCCTCCCCCTTAGGCCAGATTAAGTTATACATCGTTTGATATATTAAGAAATTCTGCTGTATAAGCTTATACTATACGATGGTCACATCAAACAACTGAAAATATCATAACGTATAGTATAAGCTTATACTATCAGGCTTTATACATCACACCAAACATGTCTTATTAGTATAAACTCTGATAGTATACGATTTGATTGTATAAGACTTGATTGAACTTTAATACTATTCAGCGTTTGATATAGTATTGTATAAAATAATATATTGTATAAAATAATATCATGTAATATTTAGTAATGCACTGTATAGTACTAGATACGATAATAATAAATATTTTTAATAAAAACATCCTTAATAAAAAATTGATATAAATCTTCCAAAAATGTCATATGATATTAATTTTTATAGAAATATATTGACCAGTGTATCCAAAAAATAAATTAATTTTTATAAAAATAAATTAATTTTAATAAAAATAAAAATATCCAATATTTTAAAATTAATATATTGATAAATTAATTTTTATTTTAATATATCAATATTAAAACAATATATTAATTCTTGAGAATTGCACTGGTCAACGATATTAATACGCCAACTCCTTATAAGTCCCAATCCCTTCCCTTTAAGGCCTGTTTGGTGTGATGTATAAGGCTTGATAGTATAAGCTTATACTATACATTATGACATTTTCAGTTGTTTGGTGTGACCATCGTATAATATAAGTTTATACAGCAAAACCCCTTAATACATCAAAATGATGTATAACTTAATCAGGCCTAAGGGGGTGGGATTAGGCCTAATAAGGGGTTGATGTATTAATATTGTTTACAAGTACAATTCGATCTCAAGAATGAATATATCATTTCAATATTAATATATTAAAACGATTTTTTTAATATATTAATTTTTAAAATATTGGAGGATATTATCTTATACAATACCATACCAAACGCTGGATAATATTAAAATTTAATATAATCTTACCCATATTAAACTTAATCTCTTATCAGGTCTTATCACTCACCCTTAGGTTGGATTAAGTTATACATCACTTTGATGTATTAAGGGATTATGCTGTACAAGCTTATACTATACGGTGATTACATCAAACAACTGAAAATGTCATAACATATAGTATAAGCTTATACTATCATACCTTATACGTCACACCAAACAGACCCTTAGTTTTTTAATCTGCATGCAAAATGACCGTGTAATGCATGGACGAGAAAATGTCACTGCTGGCATATGTACCCAAATCTTACCTTGTATAATTGGAATCATGTGACGTATGGTAATTCTTTATATCCCAAGTTCCAAGACGCAAAAGTTAAATCAATGGCTAAAACTTTTTATTTCTTGACTAAAATTAGGGATGTAAATAAATTAAGGTGGCTTATAGGAGTTTACAATCTGCTTATATTATATCACATTTGACCTATTACAAATAGTTAAATAGAACACGTATATTTTTTTTTTAAATAACCTATTTAGAAAGTAAGGCATAAGTTTTTTTTATATATATCGAACTTTATGAGCCTACACGCCGTTCTATATCATATTATTTATTTAAAAAAATAATAAATATTTTAATAATTTTGAATAATAAAGTAATATTATTTTAGTTATTTTTTAATTATTGAATATTTAATAGACTTAAATAGATTAATAGGTTTTGGCATTATTTTTTAAATATTGAATATTTAATAGACTTAAATAGATTAATAGGTATAAGTCCAAACTTTTATTTTTTAAATATAGGTCATGATCGTTTGGCCAAACTTGTTATTCATGACTACATAGGTTAAAAGGTCAGGTCAGGCTTAAAGTTTTTTACACAAGTCTGACCTATTTAAGTCAAAGCTTAGCCTAACCTATTTACACCCTAACTAAAACCTTCATTAAAAAGTTGTGAATAGAGGTTAACAAGGCGAGTTGAGCTGAGCTTTGTTTTTAAAGGTCAACCCTGAGTTTAAATGTGTCAGTCTGATCTAGTCTTTACCTATTATGAATATAATTATTAATTGGCCTGTGGCTTGGCTTATTTACAAAAAACAAAAGTCTGGTTTAGCTTGTTAAAAAAAACAAGACAATGAAAATTTATCCAAACAAAATATACGATCAACGGCACTAATAATTCCACAAAGATTCATAAATTTAATGTATATCCAAACAATATAATATAGAACAAAATTATTCATAAAGACTATTAACCAATAAAATGGAGTGAAATGAGTTGAAGAGAGAGCTATTATGAGTGGTATAAAAAATATAAATATAAATAAAAGTTAATATATTAGGTCAGTCTGAAAAAAGGCTTTAAGGCCTGATTTTTAAATTAGAACATGGAGTCTTTTTATTAAATGAACTTTTATATAAGTTCAAGCCTAATTTTAATAACAGAAAACTATTTCTGCAATTAATGTAGATACGTTATCTGCATTTACTCTCAAAACGACATACTTTTGAGAATGAAATATTAAAAAATTATAATTATAAAGACTATAATAACTTGAAATAAATTAAAATTATAAAAATACTATGATTTCTGCCCCAAAATAACGTCATATTGACATTACTGCAAATAACATATCTGCAGTACGAAAAAACGAATCGTTTTAATAATTAATTTAAAATATATAATTATAATTAAGTTTTCACAAACCGAACCATTTAGTACCCGACGCGTGTCCCCCTATATGCGCTTGGTTTTATGATTGACAATACCTGGCTCTAAAAGCCCAAGAAGTAGAACTGTAGAAGTACAAAATTCCTAACTTAATCCCCAAGCATTTGCGTGGCCACGTAGACAGACAAAGTTGGAAATGTTACTACACGGTTGTTATAAAAGTCTTCTCTCTCATAGTCTCCGTTAGTCCGAAAATGGAAACAACAATGGACCTTCGTGAATCAATCAGCAACCAAACCGACGTTGGCTTGAGCATCTCGAAGCACTTATTATCGAAAGAAGGTGAGGACAAGAATTTTGTGCTTTCGCCGTTGTCGATTCACGTTTTGCTGAGCATCATCGGTGCTGGCTGCAAGGGTCCCACTCTCGATCAGCTTCTCTCCTTCCTCCGATCCAAATCCACTGACCACCTCAACTCCTTACTCGTTATAAGGCCACCTTGGCTTCAGTTGATTTTCAGACTAGGGTCAGTTACTCTCTTTTTCACTGGAATCATAGATGCTCTTTTTTTATTAGCCATTAATTTACCTGCACAAACACGCATATATATTCTTTATTTATTTATTATTTTTTATGGTTTCATGACCTAATTTAGAACAAATGTTGTCTAATACAACTAATCTATTTCTAAGTTATGACCAATAACCATCTTATTTAAATTGAATAAAAAATACAATGTAAGATAAGACCAGGTATTCATGTAATGCTACTAACGTAAATAGTGTAGCTTGCTAGAATCGTGTGAACCGACTTGGGTCGTAGAAAAACTAAACTTTTGTGAGAAAACGTTGATTATTTATCTATCACACATGACAAGATTAAATTTTTCTACTCTTTTTTTTTAAGAAAAAAAAACATGTCTTCTTTAATTTGGAAGCTTTTGTAATCACTTGAACGGGGACCTATATTTATTCCCCCTGTTCTCCTCTCCAACCCTATAATATAGATGTTTTTGAATTTATTAGTTGACTTGATCATATTTTTCTGACTAGGACGAATTAATTAAATGTTGATACGGTCGAATGCACCACGTTAGTTAATTGGATTGATTGGCATCTCTGAACTACTTTGTTCATGAACGAATAATGCATCCATGCATGCGTATATTTCTAAAAGGCATTTATTTGCCTACATCCATGCCTGCATCCGTGCATGCGTATATTTATTCCCCCTATATTGACCTGTAACCTGTTGTAAAACTTACAATAACAAAATAAATTGCGCCTACATCGAAATACTGTAACAATCATATTTCTGAAAGGCATTTATTTGCCTACATCAATGACTCTGGTTTAACAAAAAAGAATTTTGGCATCTTATAGTTCAGAAAAGAAGATGCCTCCTTATAGAGCTGAATACATACTGTTGTCTGTTTTCCATGTATAATGTCTTAAAAATATTAGAGATTCCTTAAATTTGAAAGGTTTATACCTAGAACCGCATACCCCAACGAGATCAGTTCACCTATATTCACACACTTACGACTTCTTGCTTTACGAAATGACCCAAGTTCATCGCATGTAATGCCATTCAATCATTGCAGCCTAGTTGTTGTGAAGTTTATTACGAACAACGCATGTGCATGTATTCCGGAAGATAGGTTGCCCAACACGCTAAAACTCAAAGCGCGAGCCCAACAACATAAAATTATTGGTCAATCCTCGAATTATATATATATATATATATATATATATATATATATATATATATATATAGGGTCAGGATCATTTTACACCAGTGTAAGTTACACTCTTAATCTTATCCGTAGATCCCACTTATATCTAAGGGCTCTAACTTTTTAGTAATATGAGTCATTGGATACAAGTGAATCAATGATCAAGATTGAGTGTAAGACTTCTAACTCTTACACCGGTGTAAGAATATCCTGCCTCATATATATATATATATATATATATATATGGGGTTTATATTTCTGCAGTTGTTGTACGTGCAGCAATCAAATACTTGTCATATATATACTTAAAAGCATTAAATGCGGGGAATCATAATCATATAAAGGATGAAAGCATTAAATGTGCGGAATCATAACCATACACCTGTCGTTGCTGTACGTAAAGCAGCTGCAGAAATAATTTTACCATATATATATATATATATATATATAGTAGGGTTATATTGATAAAAGAAAATTTTTAAACTACAAACTACACTATGTCTGACCAGTAATACCTAATACTCTACTCAAAAGTGTTTACCGGTGAGACATAGTGTAATTTGTAAAGAAATTTTTTATAAATATAACATTCTTATACCGGTGTAAGAGTTAGAAGTCTTACACTCAATCTTGACCATTGATCCACTTATATCCAATAGCTCACATTACTAAAAAATTTAAGCCCTTAGATATAAGTGAGATCAACGGATAAGATTGAGAGTGTAACTTACACTAGTGTAAAATGATCCTTAACCTCTATATATATATATATATATATATATATATATATATATATATATATATATATATATATATATATATAGAGAGAGAGAGAGAGAGAGAGAGAGAGAGAGAGAGAGTGTGTGTGGTGAGATTATAACATCGTATCAGGAGAGTTATTGTTAACCATTGAATCTTACATAAATCGATAAAATCAATTTTATAAATTTGTTTATTTTTCATTTGATATAAATATTTAAGAGTCTCCTTTTGTTTTAAAAATTTTAAGTAGTCTGCTGTTCGTGATATATAATATGTTTAATTAGTAGTACTCTTATTAAGGAATAAGATAATAAAATATATTTAATGAAAAGTATAATATTTAATACTTGAAATAATTCTCTCTGATCACCCAAAAAAAAAAAATGCTCTCTATTTTGGAATCTTTAACAAGTATCTTAAAGCATTTGCCTTTAATAAAGTGATGATGTATTTTTCATATTTTGGATATAAAACTAAATTAACTGAACAAAATTAGAGATGTTGAAGACCTTTTTCATCCCAACGGATTAGATTCTAGAAACTAGACTCGATGCATTTTCACGTCATGTTTCAAGTTGTTTGAACCTAATTAATCTATATATATCACGTAATATTTTAAAATTTATAATTATTTTGATAAATAGTGTAAATGATATTTTTTGACTTATATTAAGTTATTTTACATAATAATATGTTGGTATATTTATATTCATATATTTTATTCTAAAATGTATATTATAAAATCTTTATTAATTTCAATTTTTTACTTCTTAAATTTCACGGCCAATTTATAATGACTAAGTTTTTATGTCATAATAATATTGAATTGACACGATTCATTAATCAAGAAATGGCTAAGCTAAATTCAAATTTATAAAATTAATTGTATCAAAATATCATATCAACTTTAAATAAAGTTAAACCCGTCCTAAGTTCTCTAACGAACGGACCTAAGCAAAACTTACAAGAAAACACGACCTGAGAAGTATAAAAATGTGGGGAGGTTGGTAAAAGGGAGATGTCAAGTTCCACGATAATTTAAAAATTGAATTGCTTGTCATCTAGAACGTTTACTCTGTACAGTCACTTCACGTGACTCCTTAACCACTTTCTAAACTTAAATTTTTCAATTAGCAATATTTAAAAACAAGCTGAGCAGTTGATGATTCAATAGGTTACAAATACATGTGGACAAGACTCAAGAGTAGCCAATTAGCCATACGTTTATTACTAATCATCGCTCAGTTTCGAAAGAAAAAAAAAATCATCACTCAAAATGACACACGAGAACGTCAATGTCTCCACTTGCATAATTACGCAAACTTTGTTTGAGCATCTTACCTTGTTCATAGTCTATGAAATATACAAAACGACGCGCAATATCTGCCAAAGCAAGACAAAACTTGCAATATTTAGCTACCGTTATAAAAATGATTATAGAATAATGGGCATAAATCTAGATTGTACTTATACAATGATTAGTAAGTTCGTGATTCCGAACAAGAATTATCATTTATTAATACACTTGTTGTAAAAGTAGCTATGGGCCTGTATTCTGACACGTTGTGTAAAATATCTGCCCAAAAAAAACTACTTGCTATCAGTAATGGTTTCAGTTAAGGGTTGTGAAGTGTGTCCTCCTACATGGGCTTGGTTTTATGAATGACAATACCTGGCTCTGAAAGCACAAGAAGTAGAAATACCAAATTCCAAACTTAATCCCTAAGCATTTGCGTGGCATGCTTGTAGACAGACAAAGTAGGAAATGATAATATGAAATATCAAACTAAAGGTAACATTTTCATTATATGAAATGTCAAACTAAAAATAGCAAATGATAATAAATTAGTCTCGCCAAGCATGTCATGATGCGCATTAAATAATAGAAGCATAAATTCAACAGTGTTAAAAAACTCAACCAAAACATCTCTCAACCAACATCACATAGAAAAAAATAGGCTCATGGAAATCGTTTGATAGAGAAGAAATTTTTTTTACTTAGAAATCATAATTATTAGGAATATGATGGAAAAATAAATTTTTTGAAAAAATTAAAAACTAAAAATATTTGGTAGACTAAAATATTATCAAAAAAATTGTGGATAAATTAGCATTTTGTTGGCAAAATCAAAATATCATCCTCTAGGTGATATTCTCATATGGTATTCTTACTTCAATTTTACACACAAAATACATTCTCATGCAAATAAGTTTTCTAGGCAAATTTTTTTCAAACCCCTACTAAACATGGTCTCCTTTGAATCTCGTTCCCACTTTCTTAGGCAATAAAATCTCCCTGCCAAATACTCCGTAGTAGTATAAAAAGAAAAGGCTCACGAGGTAATGAACTCATTTTTAGCGGAAAGTCTTAGCTTATTCATTTCGACAATTGATTATTAACATGATGCCTTAAAGTATTACATTTAGTCATTATTTAAATTGTTTACAAAACAATATATATTTAAATTATTCTCTACAACTGATTTTCTACACAATATATTTTTCTTATTTAAAATTAATAATTTTTGTCATTATATATATATATATATATATATATATATATATATATAGAGTTCGCTTTTTCTGCAGTTATTGCAGATAAGTTATCTGCAGTGAGCCCAATATGACATCGTTTTGAGGTGAAAATCATGTTGTTTTTGTAGTTTTAATTTATTTCAGGGTTATTATAGTCTTTATAATTATAATTTTTTAATATTTCAATCCCAAAACGACGTCATTTTGGAAGTAAATATAGATGACTTATCTGCAGTAACTACAGAAATATTTTTCTGATATATATATATATATATATATATATATATATATATAAACACTAACATGAGTTTTTCACAAACTGTTACCCTCAAGCTTATAAAATTTAAGTTTCACTTATTTATATAATTGAGCTTAATATCAAGCTTAAAATTGTTTGTTTAGTAAAACAAATAAGTTTTATGAAGCATTAAACAAAGCCATTTACACGCTATTTCACCCAATGCATTCAGTAGCATCATTTTACCTTTAAAAATGTAAAGTGGATATAATGTCTTTCAGACCCTTAGGGCTGGTTTGATGTGACGTTTAAGGCATGATAGTATAAGCTTATATTATATGTTATAACATTTTCAATTATTTGGTGTGACCATCGTATAGTATAAGCTTATACAGCATAATCCCTTAATACATCAAAACGATGTATAACTTAATACGACCTAAAGGTGAGAGATAAGGCCTGATAAGATATTGATGTATTAACATCGTTGACCAATATAATTTTCAAAAATTAATATATTATTTTAATATTAAACAATTAAAATAATATATTAATTTTTGAAAATTAATTTTTAAAATATTGAATATTTTATTTTTATAAAAATTAATTTATATTTTGGACACAGTGATCAATAAATTTTTATAAAAATTAATATCATATGACATTTTTTGAAGAATTATATAAATTATTTATTAAAGGATATTTTTATTAAAAATATTTATTTTTATCATATATAGTATTATACGGTACATTATCAAATACTAGATGATATTATCTTATACAATATATTATTTTATACAATATCGTGTCAAACGCTGAATAGTATTAAAATTCAATCAGGTCTTATACAATTAGGTCTTATACTATCAGACCTTATCCTATACTATGCACCAAACATGCCCTTAATCATTAAGTGCCATTAGTTTCTGCAATATATATGCATTCAATTGCAATACAATACTCAACCAGTTTTAGACATTAGTAATAATTTTTAAAAATATTTTTTTTAATCCTAAAAGCGATATATTATTATTTTTAAAAACTAAAACTAAAATATTAAAATTTTATTTTTAGGCTTGTCTGAAAAATTCTGCTCCGATGTATCCTTTAATGCAACAAGGAATTCAAAGTTTCGTGGTTCTAAAATATTTGTGTGGTTTTTGACTTAAATATTTTTTAAAATTATAAACTATATTTGAAAGGTAGATTAAATGTATACACTTTGAATCATTAAATGCATTAATTTACTGAGAAAAATGGAGATGAGTGAAACGAGTTTAAGATGGGAGGATTTGATTTTTATTTCACCATGAAAAAGTCACCCTCAACACATACAGGAAATTCATGCATGATTTCCCAGGTGCAAACTTAAGCTAACCATAGTTTTATGTGGTTTTCTTGAGCAAATTGGATGTTATCGTTGTAACTTTCTAGTCAGCTGGTGAGATGTCAGTACCTCTTCCTTCCAAATAGTAGTGTTCTTCCTTCATGTCTTCTGCCTTCTTGTCTTCTCAATAGAAACTCCTTCTGATGTAGATACTGCTTTAAAGATTCACATTGGTATAAGGTATATGTGTTTGTTAGAGGATATAACCACTAACATCCTTCATTTAAGAGGTCGATGGAACCACCATTGTTGAGTGTATTAAATACTACATGTGTGTGAGGTGTACCTATTCATACATCAATTGTTTGCTTATTTTGCCCTGAAATAATTTTTTGGGGACTAATGATGTGCGGGACGCGCAACCCACAAACATATTTTATATCCATTATGAACAAGGTAAGCTAAACGAGTTTTTCATTAGATATCAACTATCAATTAAGAATTGGTGGAGCCTCACAATTGATGAACAAATGATATCAATCTTTCTTTGCATGTAAGAGGTTGACAATGCAACCGAATTCATGTTGGATTCTGTTGCTTTGCTAACGTTTATGCAAGAGATGCGCAAGTATCCGCAGCCACAAGTAATATAGGGTGTATTTAAAACCCCAATATCGTTTCCACAAGGTTCTTTTTGGCGAAAAAATACAAAAGAAATTTTGTGCAATTGCTTAGACTGAATTCTAAAAAAAATTAAAATAGAATTGGTTAAAAAAAATAAAAAAAATCAGAATTTAATGGTCACTTTGAGATTTTAGATTTAAAATTTAGATCACTTACTTACTGCACGAAATAGAAAAATTATAAACCAGAGAAAATTATTTTTGGTATTTTCTACTTGATGGTATTTTCACAAAATTATAAAGAGTTTGAATGACTGAAAAATCAGAATAAAAATAAAAAGTTAAGAGTTCTAATTGGAAAAATTGGGTTGGGTTTTGATTCCTTCCCTACAGCTCTTGATGCAATTTACTTAAGAAAAAAAAATTAAAAATTATTTTTCCATTGGCAGACATTTGTAGATTTTTAATCCCTTAAAAATCTTTGTCCCTTATTCTCAAACCACTTATCCCTAAGCTTATGAAAATAAAGGCTTGAAGCTCAAGTCTTCTTAGCCACATCAACTACTCCCTCAAATAAATCCTTAATTGAGTCCATGCAATCAACTCAGTTTCCAGAGACGAATATTTCTCAATATCCCTCTCTTAATACACACATAATCCATTTGGTCAAAAGAGAAAATGCATTCAAATAATAAGCAGAGTTAACTTTCGGAAAGTAAACGTTCATAACAGAGAAATAAATTGCATCATTCACTGTAGTTGGGGTCTCAAACACCCAACCCTTAAAGAGTTTCGCTCATACCTATAAGGGTTGAGCTACAAAAACAGAAATACAGAAATTACAAGGAAACTAAAAATTGCCGAAAAATAAACGCTACAGTACAAATGCTATTTACAGAGATAGCTTTGTCACTGTGCTCAACATCCAGAATAACACACCCAGAAATTATAATATCCAAACATACAGAAACAAAATAAAGAAAAGAAAAATCATAAACAGGTCCGAGAGAAAAATATCAGAAGAAGAAGAGACCTACAAAATTTATCCTCGCTCTTTTATACTCTGTCTCCTCTCATGCATGGGCTTTGGGTCCTCTCAGCATCAAATTCCACACGCTCCTTGCTCGTACGTCACACCAACATTCCTCAAGCACTCCACGCTCTCTCAGATGCTACACCAAATGGAATCTCTCTCCGCACTTATAACAACCTCCACGTCACGTTTCTGTTAGGCTTCTAGAACAATGGTCGAGTGACTCTACAAGGTAGGCTCGTGTGGTTCGATGGTCACAAAAAATGGGAATGGATCATCGATTGGATGGCTAAATGGTTGGCGTGAGATGAGGGGTTTGAAGGACAATGGGGGCTAGGGTTAGAATGGCTAAGTGTGTTTACCAAATTCCTTTTCCACGTTGACCCCTTTTCTTTCTTCCTTTCTTTTCCTTATGATGACTAAGTGGGTCTTTCCCTTTTCTTTTCTTTCCATTAGGCCTTTTTGATTTGGGTTCCTCGACCCATTTCTTTTTACTTCTTCTCTTGCTTTGATAGCCCACATTTTGCACATCTTTTTACCTGAAACATAAAAACAAATAACTCATCACTTTTTTTATTTCACATACTTACAATT